ATTTTAAAAAAAAGTAATTTAAATCACTGATTTTTATTTAAAAAATCAAGTTGATTTAAATAAAAAAAATCAACTGATTTAAATCAACCCAACCCTGGGGTTGGCTACCTCAATTGATCGCTTTTACTTTTAGTTTTAAAGACAAGCGGACTATCCATCCAAGGAGCTTAGAACTACTGTAAACTCCTTGGGGCTATCCCAGATTTTGGGGGTTTCCGGAAATCTTGATCTACACCAAAAGTGGGCATTGCCCTACCTAGCCTATAGAGGTGAAGTTTGATTTCAATGGTGTGTATATACGTATTTGTTTGGTTACCGGTATAAAGAAAACTCTCCTTGTCTTTAAATGAAAATGAACAAGGGGCATAAACTTTACCTTCGATTTTCTCAAAACAGCGTTTTTCGAGATAGCCCCCTGTTGCTTACGACCAATTTTCTGTGCATTAAAAATTTTAAAAACATTTGTACGTAGGTTTATATTTTTTAAATGAAACTGGTTTGTTCCTGAAAAGCTGTCACAGTAACTTACTAAAGTCACTGAAATTTCATGATCTCTTGTTCAATTTGTTCCTGACTGCTAGTACCAGGGTATGAGATTGAATGTGCCCCCCCCCTTTTCTTTTATTCCCCACCCCCCTTTTATTAATTTCGGACCACTTGTCCCGACCCCCCGTTTTATTGATTTTGGACCTCTTTTTCACACCCACCATTTATTTTATTCGCTTAGAGTAGGCTTTATTAGTTCAGACTCTGCAGATCTTTCACGAACACTTGAGCGCGAGTCCTCAAAAGACAAAAGCCTGACGAGTGCCCACCTGTCTTTTGGTCAGGTCATCAGGGCTGTATTATTGTGATATCTGGCAACGCCAGATATTTTGCCGACTGTTTGATGTGGCTCAGTTCCTTGGAAGTTTCTTCAGGCAATTGTATAATTGCCAGTTGAAAATAAAATATTGACCACAGCCTAAAAATGATAATGATAGCATTTTCAATATCGGGCAAATTCTTGAAATATAGGCCGAATTCTCCAAACCCTCGTGGGAAACAGATTTCCAATCTTTTCCAGCGATATTTGCTCCTCATCCTTGTTTTTTCCTTCTTCTAGTTCTAGTACCTTGGTCGAAATAAAATTATATGTATCACAATTACAACTATTCGTGATAGTAATTATTAAGTAATGCTAATACATATTTGTATTGTAGTATAGTCTACAGTTGCCAGTCGGGAAAAGGAACACAGTGTAACACGGAAGGTAAAAAATCACGCATCCGCCGAACTGCGCATGTGGTCCCCTTTTTTCTTTTCTTTGTAAGATTATATCCCTCGTACTACCAAAGCTGGTCCGACGCATTTGAGCTATCCGTGCTATACTATGTTTAGATCTGTAGCAGATCAAGCGCCCAGTGCCTACTTTTCATTCAGTCATGTTCCCGTTACAGGCATAAGTCTAACTACTGGGGGATGGGGTGGGTGTTGTGATGCATTCCTCTCAGTCTGAGTTGACCTAGATATGTCGGCCTCCTACATGATCTAAATTGTGTGGATGGGGGTGTAAAAACACTACATAAAAATAGTTTATGCCCGTATGTAATTTATATAAATAATTTGAAAAAAGGTCATCTGATTCTGAACATCTGCATCGCAGTTCAGCAAGGTCTCCCTTTCCAAGACACTCATGAGGTTCCCTTTCTCAGTCCCTTAGATGAGGCAACCAAGTCACCTGGGTGCATCAATTCTGTTTCAGTTTGATAAAAGTTTTACAGCGCTCAAAAGTGCATATGGTCACAGTTATACGAGCGAGCGAGACACTAATTGGTTGTAAATTTTGTATTCACATTAGTTCAGAGCACAGGTTTGGTTTGGTCAGTTTTACTTCGCAAGTAAGATAGTATAAGTAAGAAGAATGATTTAAGTACAAGTCAATCCTTTCTTGAATTGAAATGCATTTGTGAAGTGATGTGGCCTATCCATGCTTGGATTATTTTGATTTTGAGTCAGTGGGGAGTACAAAATAAACAAGGCACATGCATTTCTACTCCAATTTCCCTCATACAGTTGGGCACAGATAACTAGAACAAACACAGATTTAACTCAAACTCATGGATAGCTTGTTGTACAATACTTTGCTAATCCTCTACAATGTATATGTTTTGAGATACCGGTATCCGTTACTGGTTGTATTTTGTACAAAGTAAAAGATTTGTGGGGGCAAAGGTTCTGAGCTCTGATTCCTGTATGTGTGCGTGTGTAGTACTAGTAGTAGGCCTGTGTGTATGTGGGGGGGGAATTAACATTAACATTCCTGTTTAAACATACAAACACAAAACAAATTATGACCAAGTTTTTATTACTTGAACTATAACAAAGCTATCTGAAGGTACATGAATATTATGTAATTATATATGGAACACTAAAACTGCTAACATTACATTTAATTCAAAGTAATCCTTTCAGGACAACCAACTTGTCACTCATGTCTGTACCAACTTGTCACTCATGTTTGTATGCACACAGTGGTGGAAACTGAGACAGTTTATTTTACACAAGAGGCCAAAAATTTATTTTAAAAAATTAAATGGTGCAACATTCTTTTTTATATCAGCTATTAAACATACAAGAATAGTATAACTCTTCTTGTATCTTTTGCTTTTTTAGTTTATTTTATTTTAATAGACTAGAGTAAATACATGATGTAGGGTGCAAGAATAATTATAACTGTCATACATCCTTGAAGTAGACCAAAAAGAAAAAAATATCTATATTTCCAAAATCGAGTAACATACACTGTCCTTCTGACTACCCTCTATTCATCCAACCCCAGCCGTCGATGATGATGACTGATACAGACAGTTCGCTACCGTACAAAGTTCTATTTAACATTTTTGACTGTTTTGAATTAAGACCATGAGGTCAGACACCAAATGAACGATTGGTTGGAGGGCACCACCGGTAGGTCCTATTTCTTTACTTTCCCTCTGTTCATTTGTCTGTCTTACTTTTTCCCAGCACTAAATGACCATTATAGTGTCGATGTGCTTCTTCTCTTTACTCAAACAAGACACCAAGTGTCCTATCTGCTCTATGAAAATCATATGATTATTTGGAGTCGTTATCAAGATATTCAAAGAATTGCATTCGAAAAAGCTTGACATGTGAAATTCAAAAGTTTTAACATCAAATTTCTCAAAACTAAGTACTAAGCAAATAGAACTTTGTAATTCTAAGGTAGCGAGTTAAACTAAATGAGACAACACCACCATCCCTCCTAGACAAAGTACGCTGCCAGCTGTGCCATCTTGTCTTTTGGTTTTGGCCTTCCTCTTCCTCTCCCCCTGCCACGCCCCCCTCTCCCACGCCCACCGCGGGAAGACCTCCCACCAGGGCCCCTTCTCATGGCAGCTGCATGGTGTTTCTCCATTAGGGGCTTGAACACAGGGTCGCAAAACACACAGCCACTGTGCTCTGCGGTTCCGTCCGGTAATGGGCTTTTGTCCTCCTGTTGAACAAATCAGAAAAAGTAAGTGTATGGAATATAACTCTTTAAATTTAAATTTAACGCCCCGATCAACATTAAAGTGGAACTCGGATTCAACGAGGTCGCTGGGCCTGACCTAAAATCTCGTTGAATCCGAGTGTTCATTATAGCAAAAACAAGGTTTTGTGTAGTGTAGATAATTACAGGCACTGAGCAAGTAATGTATAAATAGAAGTCACAAGTAGTGCCTGAAATGTCTGTATATTACGAGCTGTGTAAAAAAAAAAGACTGATTCGTTCAAAAGCACATGCCTGTGTCATCTCGATTTTATACCAAAAAGGTGTGTTGCTGTGTAGAGCCTTGCATACACAACTTTTGATTCCACAGACCAGCGCACAATTCATTACATAGATCTACGTCAAGACTAGTTTATCAATATTATCTTTGTAATAATGATCAGTTGCCGAGGGGAAAAAAAAAGACAGACAAGTTTGTATCTGCCACGTTCAACGCCCGGACCGCTATTGCCCC